CCACTAAGTCCTCTTTCCTTCATCAGAGGAGAAAGGGCCCTGCCTGTGGTCTTTGGGTCACTCTTACTACAAAGTGTCTCAGTATGAGGAGGCCTTAATGACTGGACACACCTCTCCTCCCCTCTTGACTGAGTCCTGCAGCAGAGGAGACATTGAAATGCTAGATATCTCTGCAGAAGACATCAGGACCACTAGGACACACCACCTCTTCTGGAATGGTCATGCCGACACGCATCAGGGAGGTATGTCTCTGAGAAGCAGGCAAACATTTGGCACATAAACAAGGCACTTGCCTTTGGCAAATCAATAGGAGCTAAACATCTATGTACAAAGGCTGCTGGAATTCATGCGATTCTGCTCTGTCCATTGCTACCCTTTTCTCAGTCTCTCATTTCAAAACAGAGAATTCACTAGGCTTATTTTCAAACCGTCACCTGGTGCTGAGATACCTGTGTGATACAAGTTTGCACTTGAATTCTGAAAGCAGAGAATGAGACATTCACAAGGCTTACAATCTCAACAGCCACAGTGGAGTACACTGGTGGTAAGGGGAAGGAACGATGGCTTTGTTATGACTCTACTCAGCAATCTCTCATCCTCTGGGGAAGTCTCGGGGGTCTAGAGCTTCCTCCAGACCTTTGACCCCGATGCCTTTATGTGGGAAAATCAATGCATGAGATTAGTCATAGAATCATAAAATGACACATTAAGTTGGTGGCCAAGCACTTAATAAAAAAGCTTGTACATATAGAGAATTGCTCTTTCTCCTGTCCCTCCTCCTGCTCAGGATGCCATGAACACCCAAGCTCGTGGAAGGAAGGCACACACACGCATGGTAAGGAGCAGTATTAAGAGGACTTCTACTAGGGCTTAGGAAAGTGAGCAGTGTGTGACGCAATGGTGTACGGGCCTTAAAATTCCTAACAAGTGGGTGCTAAGGACAATATTCTCTCACTCATCACCTCTTATCCCTTCGGGAGCTTTCCCACCAAAAGAAAGTCAACCAACAATATGGGCATAACGACGCTGAATGGACTACTCGTCACTTGGTGCTCAGGGGATATCTGACAGCACCCCACCTGTCCCTAGACCACCATTTGTGTATCAAGACATCGGCAGTGTCACCATGGTGACAATTCCTCTGGTAGCCAAGGGTGACAGGCAACAGTGTTTGTACGTGCGTAGTATGGAAATGGCAATCTGATAGCATCCACCATTCAGCATAAGGAAAACATAAATTATATAGAAATGACGTTTTACTTCCATCTTCTTTTACCCTCTCCTGGTCAAAACCATCTCTCCGGGTTCATTCAATACTCAGAGTCCCTTCAGAAGAACAGGAGGTGTGACTCTTCATCCACCTGGAGGCTCGCTTTCGACAGCATCCTAGTGCTCTTTACAGATGGCAGCCCCCAAGCGCCCAGTTCCTGCTCTTCACCATCCATCCCATCTCTTGTTCATGGGGTCTTGTTCATGACCCCTCAGTGTTCTAAAAGAGCTTGACCTGCACTGACCTTCATCAAACATGCATCCACTTCTGGGTCAGCTACCATCTCTGCGGCTACAGAAGACCGAGATGAGGGCCACTGTTAGGACACATTGACTGGCCTCTGAGCACGGAGGCACCGCGTCAGCACAGTCGTCACACATCTCTGGAGTGAACGCACCCTGCTTGCCCCTCCACAAGGCTGGCGTACCAAGAAGGGCAGTCTCCTTGTCTCCGCAGTGGTTGCCTGCAAGTCTTTTTTCAGTGTGGTCCCTGTTGGAGGCATCCTGGGTCCAGTTTTTCATTCCAGTAGCACTTGGCTACCGAAAGGTGTCACGTGAGGAGTTTGGATTAAGGAAAGGCCAGGAAATGGTGAGGTTGGTGGTTCTTGTATTTGTGAAGTTGGGCGATCCACTTTTTTCTCTTGGGCTGAGAGTCCTGGGATGTGAGTCTGCTACAACGTGGTTGCCCCATCCCAATCCCCTAACACCTCAAAGTCCTTGAAAGGCTTCCTGAGGGGCGGAGGAGTGAGAGAGTCTCAGATCTTCTTTGGGGAGCCGATCATGACCTTGGACACAAAGTTCACAATGGCACTGGCCGGTTGCTCAGGGTCGTGCTCTGCAAACAGGTGGCACACATTGTCCGTGCTGCTGCCCTGTTTTCGGGCCACAAACCCAAAGACCCTGCAAAAGAATGGCATAAGTCAGGGTTTCCAGAGTGCCACCAACCACCACCACGACTGGTAGTGAGTTCAGTGGTCATTTGCTAACACCAATATGCCAAGCCCCCTGCTAGGTACGCACTTGGGCACTGTTATTTTTAACCTTCCTTCTCATGCCCTGCAGGTAAGATGCTACTACCTGTACCTTGTGGCGGAGGAAATTGAAGTTGTGAGAGCAGCTCATGGTCCAGCAACAGGGCTGGACTCGTAAGCCAAGATTCCACTGAAACAAACGTTTCTCTGCATGTAGCCGGATCCCACACTCTAGCTACAAGGCAGGGTTCTTCCAGGTGAGGTAAGTCCATAGTGCCAGGTGATTTCTCAGAGCACCGTGATGTGAGAGTCTCACCTCATGTAATCAAACCAGGTTGGTTCCAGCTGCTCTGAGCACAGAACAAACCAGTTTCAAATGCTGCTAAAGCCTAAAAAAATCAACTGGTTAGTAAGCACTTAACAATCTCGCATTCTCCAGAACCATTTCAGTAGGCACGCTGGCCTGCACATAGATGGGTTGGGATGAAACCAGAAACCACTGACACCCAGCCAGCTGGAGCAGCACCTACATTCATGAGAAATCAGCACCCTCATATAGTTATTGATTTCAACAGGGGTCACAAGGGGATTTATCAACCATCATTTATGACATCAGCACTTCTGTTTTAAAAATATCAAGGATTAAAACTAGACCAAGTATCTCAGTTCCATAAGGCACAGATTTTAATCAAAGGGACATAACAAGTCAATCATCCAGTGACTCTCTTCTGGGTTTGAAATCAGGGCCACTGTTTCAAAGAATATAGCATTTGAGTATTTTTCTTAGGAAAATGGAAGCCAGTATCTTAACAGGCTTTTTGTAAGTCCTAAACCCCACACAGTAACTATGTCTATATATTATCTATATCAGAATGCCTGCTACAGGTCTCTTTCTTCTTAGAAGCATGATGGGTTGTCAGATGAAGCATACCAGTTTCCATACCGCGGAGTCAGTGAATGACACTCAAGTGGCCCCGGGGCACTTGCAAAGTCCATGCAAAAGAAGGGCTCATTTGAGCTGCCTGCCAGGGTGCAGAGGAATGCGCCAGGAGTGGTCCCCCCCTGGGGCTAGGTCAAATCCTGATAGGGAGACGTTTGCAGAAATCCTAGGAAGGGGAAGCCCATGCCTTGCATTTATTGGCAATTAAGTTTAGGTTCTGGAGAAGGCAGTCAGGAAACTGAGAGAGCGATGCCTCAGAGGTGGATAGTGCTTCCTCACGGCAGCACTCTTGAGGCCTCCGGTGGCCGTGAGGAAGAGATGCCAAGTGGACAGTCCACGCTGAAGCAGCCAGCTGTCCACTTGGTGAACTAGGACAAGGCCCATCTGTAAAAAGTGATCCTCCAAAAGGACTCCAGAGAAATCCAGAAAAGATGGCCTGGCTTGTCACAGAGCAAGGCTCCACATGTTGGCACCTCCATTTCTTTGTGCTCATGTTCACAGAACGTTCTTTGCCTCAACGCCACACACGTCCAAGCTAGTGCAGGCCATACCTTCTCCTTAATGGCTGAAGAAGTACTCTGCCTCACTATATTTATACATAACTTTATAGATTAAAGGTGAACAGTTCATGCAGTGACGAACAAGCAGAAAGGTGAACACTGCCCAGTCCCTTCCTAGACAATAAGAACTTTTTTTTTTTTTTTTTAAAGCAAACCTCAAGACAATTGACATTATGTAGTGACTTTCCTACCAGGGATTTTTTTTTTTTTT